TTATAAATTCTGAACTCTTTGGATGGTTGGAGGGCGCCACTGATACCTCCTATTTCTTTACTTTCCCTCTGTTGTTTCTGTCTGTCTGCCCCACTTTTTTCAGCACTATAATATTACCATTCTTGTGTTGATGTGATTCTCTTTACTTTTACAAACTAATCATAAAGTCCCCTGAAAAAAAAAAAGATATGAGTGTGGGTGATTGGCAGGTGCTGTCGAATGATTTGCTCCTCCTTTCCTATTGTACATCAATCGTCCTTATCCTTCTTCCTTTATGTGTTTGTTACTCTTTTGTAACAGCTTTAAACGTCAGCACTTACATGACCTAATTGTTTTGTAAGTGCTGCAATACTCTTATGAAAACAAAAACAAAATACAAGCGAAACAACTTCCACTAAAGTTAAAACTAAGATAGTAGGGAAAAAAGGGTTTGGGAGTGGCACGGTTGAGAAAGAATGAAACTTAGGAACCCCCCCCCCCCCCAACCCCCAAAATTAAATTCCACATTCATAATGTAACCTTCTGCCCTTGACTGGGTTGTGCAAGGCCAAGATCAAAAGGGCAGATGGAACAGAGCCCTACTTCTTTTCTTTCTTTCTTTTGTTTATGTGTGTCTGTTCTGGTCTTACTTTTTTTCTTTGCACTAAATGACTCTTTTTATTCCTGTAGAATGTGAAGGTTTGGTGGCAGATCCAGCCATTGGGTGGTTGACGGGTGCTCTGGTGTGGTTTGCTCCTTCTTTCCTATCAAACATCTATCGTCCTGATCTCTCCTCCTTTTTTGTGTTTGCTACTCTCTCGTAACACCTCTAATCTTCGGCACTTTTATGGCCTTATTGTGTTGCAAGTGTCGTAAAACTGTTACTAAAACTAAAGATCCTGCCAAAGTGTGAATACATCAGGCTTCAACATACACCTAAAGTTCATGTAGTGATAGGTTGTTGAGAATGGTGGGACTTCTGATGTTTTCAAGCATATTACTTTTAACTGTTGAACTATACTTTGACTCATTCACTCTGTAATTATTCCTTTTTGTTTTGACATAATTTTTTTCCCTGAGCTATAAATAGCATGTATGTGTACAATGCCTCGAATATTATACTCTTTGTAGTATCAACAATTAGCATACCTTACGTTAGACACCTCACAGCGAAAGAGTTAAGTTTTCATATCATCAACTTTCATTATCATTTTCGACCATATGTTGATTTCCTGTGGCACAAAATGAGTTAAAATTACATTATTAACAAGTTACAGATTCGGTTTTCTATTTTGCACCTCTGTACTTTTTTTTTTTTTTAGATACTGTACATAAGTGATAAGAGATGCAATGAGAACACCACTTTTATCTCGTTACCACCTCTTGATTCAAACGTTGGACCTTGATTCTTATATGATTGGAAGGACTGATTCCTCTCTCAATAATAGTTTTGAAAAGCATAGAGCATGTGGTACAGCGTGGGTAGGCCTATGTGCTGTATAAATGCAATTATGATTACATGTGCTCACAGCCTATATTTGTGTGGGATGGAGCACTATATAAATGCAATTAAGTATTATTATTATTTTTTTTATTGCTATTATTCTTTTTAAAATTATTA